CATAATACCATGTAAAATAAGCTCATGTTTGTCTCACTTTAAAATAAAACTCGTAATTCTCATACTTATTTTCAATCACACATTCACGTAATAAAATATTTTACACGTAAATTCAAAAATTTTCTCTACTTTTTAACTATACATTCTCCAAAAAATCACTATTCAATTTTTTTTTTTTTTAAATAATGGCCATCAAACAATAAGATTTTGAAGGCCTTATATTTAAGTTATTTTTTCATATAAATTATTTATTGTTGACTTGTATCTTAAATAATTTATTTTAAATATTTTTATTATTACAGGAAACCTTGTACATGTGCCAAATTCAAGGACATTGAATATACAAAGATTGTCGTGTATTCGAGCTTAAAGTAGAGAAAGTATTTTTAAAAGACTCTTTAAATATAAGATATTATTTATTTTAAAAAAATCAATCCTTAAAATTATGTTCCAACATACTATTTAAATTAACATTTTCACTTAGAGGGTATGCTTTGCTCTCCAAATTTGAAGAGCTCAATAATTAAATGCATTTAAAATATTTCAATTTTCAAGTGAAGAAAATAATACAATAATTTGGAGAGAAGCTGGTGAAAATAAAAGATAGAGAAAAATGACAAATAATTTTTGGAAGTAGTAAAATTGTTATATATAAAGAATCTATCAAAGTACTTACTTAAAAATTTCTACTCTCTTAATTTACGGATGTTTATAAAATATACTATCTAAAAATAAGTAATCTTTTGAAGATGCTCTCGATAATGGATAATTAAAAATTGGTTGAAAGTCACTTCATTGGGAGGCTAATTTAACTAACAATGTAGTAGATGAAATTGGAAACCTAAGTGTTAAAAAGAGCCAAGTCCATGATACAAAATATACAACTTTTGTGCTAATTTAGCGAAAATTGCAGCAAATGTTTCAAACCTTTCATTTTACTGTAAATTATACTTTCATCTCTCATTTTGGCGATTGTAGTTCCAAACCTTTATACTTAACTACAACTGTGGTCCAAATAACTAATTCCATCCATAATATCGTTAGTCAACGTAGAAGGTCTTGGGTGTGGGTGCACATGGTCGAGCTAAAAAATAAAAAAGAAGCACTAAAAATGGCGAAATATTGGGAAATGAGTAAAGAGAAGCGTGAAGACAAATGTCAATTGCAACTGAAGTAGATATGTGTGATTATCAACTCGATTTATTTGGGTCAAACATGCATCATATCAGAATTAAAATATATATATATCACTCCAATCAAAATATTGTAATCAAATTTGATAGTAACCCAATGATCCTCACCCCCTGGTCCCAAAATTTGTCTATTAATGGATTGGGAGGACAGCTGAGGTTAACATAGAAATGTATATGTCATGGAGGAAGATTGCATTTTAGAAGTTTCATATTTTCCATGTTAGTCCAATTCACACAAGTTGGCTTCTTAACTATCTCTCGTTTGATTTCATATT